GCATGCCACAGGAATTAAACCAGCAACCTGCAATCTCAGACACAGACACCTATCCCACAGAGCCACTGCTTTAGACAGAATGCAAGCTAAATGTTAGTTTAGCAAGCTAATTTAGACTGCCTTTATACATCAGTGAGTAGATTATTTACGCATCTAACAGCAGACTGCATACCCTAGAAACATATGAAGCCTTAACTCTTTGGTGAGGTCATTGAATTGTGACGCATTATCAAAGCCAAGTTTTGGCTCCACCTATTGGTCGACACATAGAATTGCTTGCTTGGAGACACAACCTAGTAGTCTAAATACAAAAGTCTTTATTGGGGGGATGAATTCATTCAAATTAAATGTGGAGGGGGACCATGTCGCCCTGTCTCCTACACCCCTAAACATATTATCAAATTACTAGAGCCTCCCTCCATTGAAATACTTCATGTTCTGAACCGTAATATTTCAGACTGATAACTGATTATTAACATTACCCGTTGTAGGAACTCAAACTTTGATAACTTGATTTCCAAAACCCATTGTATTATATTGAGCTGATTGTAACTTTTAAAATGTGCTTGCACATTACATGAATTTTGCAATATATTCTAATGTTCGTTCTTTTTAATCTCTATGATGCCTCCGCTGTGCTGGCATATTTATAGCAGATATCCATTCATGTGATGAGGCTGCAATGGGCAGCATTGTGGCCTCAAACCTCCAGGGTTCTGACCTTCTTTTATTGCCCTGCTTCCTGTGTATAACATGAAAGTGTGTGCCCTCAAGATGCAAATTCAAAAACATGTCATGCATTAGGTTGTGTGATAATAATAATAATAATAATAATAGCAGTGATGTACAGCCCAGAAGAAAACACACACATATTAGGCAAAGAATTGGGCCGAATTTTATTTAATTCAAACAGTAAATACTGAACCAGCAAAATGTTTGTCTGTTTTGTACAAATCACAGTGGTTCAACAATATTACAAAAAAAAAAAAGTTTTGATTATTTTGCACAACAGCAGCAAACATTTTGATTGTTGTGTTGAAAAAGCCCTTGCATTTCAGTAGGTTTAAAAATGTTACACTATGAAGCTATAAATGGTTATTAATACAAACACTACTTCTCACTAAAGTAGACTTAGACCAAAGACAAAGTGCATTCGTCTGTAAAAGTCACACTCAGACAAATATGTATCAAAACGAAAAGCCATTCAATGCAAAGTTTTTCCTCAGGTACCCCCCCAGTCCCAAACACACCTTTATATTTGCAGTGTGGCAGTATAAGACAGAATGCGCGCACATCTGTAACCATTATGAAGCAGTGAAAGCTTTTGTGAAATCTGTGCACCATAATAGATGTCAGAAACGGCACACATGCCTCTGGTCACAATTGAATTCAAGGTTTGGTTTAATTGTAGGCAGCATCTGAGGGCTGGTTGTGACTCACTTAGGTAAGACCATTGAAAATCTTAAGTTTTTCAAGTTATCGTACAGTAAGTATTAGGCACCTAGTCAAGCTTGCTGGTAGAGAAAAAGGATTTAAAATTCCAAGAGTCCGTTTGGTTATACATACAAATCTGTCAAAAATCAAGCATACAGAAGTTGATAAATCAAAATTACTGTTATCTTCAAGGAGAAAAATTCAATTACACAATAGTTCATAAAACACTGAGGTGCCATAAATAAGGAGGGGCTAATGTAACTAATTAAATGGTTTGTTTTAATTTCATTCTGAATTTAAATACATATTTAAATACAGTCCTATACATCAATGCTGTCTTTTCTTTGCATGCGCAAATAATCCCACATTAATTCAAACATCTCAGACCCAATATCACCAAGACTGCAGAGGCTAAATATCATCAGAAATGATTGGAACAATGACTCAGCAGAAATATCTAGCAATGAACAGCTGTTTGTCAGGGTTTGCTGGCCTATAACCAACCAAGTGACCAGGCAAAAGAGTCACCTAATGCTGAATCAGCACAGATGTGAGATTAAAGGCACACGAGCAAAGCGGGGCTGACAGAAAACACAAGGCACTTTCAATTACTCTGTTTGCACACGGGGGGGCACATCACGCTGTAAGAAATATGAAGGAGCACAAAAACAATTTAAAGCACCATTTTCAGTGCAACAGCACTTAAACATTCTAGATGCAGCCTGTCTAGCCACTGGAAGACTAAAGTACCTCATAACTCACAGACATTATTGTTGTTTTATAGAAAAAAACTCTGAAATCCTGACTTTCCACCTAAGAAACAGATGAACAGACAAGTTAATAGACAAGTTAGATACACAATTTCCTTAAATTCAGAAATACCTTCATGCATTACAATATGCAAAATCCACTATAATATACCTATCCTATCATTATATACATGACCTGTTATCAAAGAAGCCCAGCATCAGATTGGTAAGCAACACACCTAGTTACGTTTATTTAAGTTAAAAAACAAAGTTAAAAGACGTTCCTGTTTCATGTACACTAAAGTGCTTGCAATGTTCCTGAAAAGAAAGTTGTATGGGTCACAGTTCCAGGAAGACAGGTTACATACTGTATGAAGGAGGGGACTTCGAGTACGCTGACAAACACAGGAATAGTGCGATAAAATTCTACGCATTTAGCACACAAAACGAATATAAAACCGCAATCAAAATACCAAAGCTGGCTTTATTCCCCAAATAAAACTCCGGGCATGAAATACAGGCTACATGCAGCGAGTCAGACTGACAAGTGCTTTAGGATCCTGGTCTATTCGGTACTTTCCTTCAGGGCTTATAATATGCTCAAATCTAGAAATGCAGACATCTAACACAGGAGAAGAAATCTCAGGCTATAAATGACTAAAACAGAAGCTGCAACAACTACCATAATACTTTGCTGTTTCTAATCAAAAACATCTACCGGTGGCTAATCGATGCCAATCCAAGCTGCAGATACAGCTTAAAATTATGAGTATTTACATTAATAGTCATTTAGCATTCAGCAAATGATAAGGTTTAATTTTTTTTCCAAAAGCAGAAAACAATCAATCTCAGCAATAGCCATCTGATGTTTAACAGTGATAAAAATATATGTTTGTGTGTGTGTGTTTGGGGGGGGGGGTGAGTTTACTAGCTTGTCATCTATAGTAAGGGCAAGACACACAAGTACATGACCAGAAGAGGCAGGTGTGAAATGTAACCAGCAGAGGGCCTCGGTGGGCTAACGCGTTCAGGGTGGGAGTATTCACTGTCTATTTTGGTCATTGCAGGTAGTTGGCTCAAATCTCAAATTAAATGGCATAAGATTTGGAAATGTAAACTGTGTTAAAAAAAGTTCTTAAACCACACTAAATTTCACAGCTGAAAAAATAACAGCTTAAATAAAAATTCCAATTCTACGTATCAGGTCTATTTCACATTGTGATTGTGTCTATTATGCTGGCATCATCCCCATAAAAAACCCCATTTAGTTTAGTGTGTGTGTGTCTGTGTGTGTGTGTGTATTATATATATATATTTGCATGTGCATGCATGCACACACACACACACACACACACACACGCACTCAGGCACACACACAATTATATAGTTATGATTAATTATAAATTGCTAAAGACCATTAGTAATGTCAAAGAAGTAACATATTTCATTCTACATATCTAATGCCAATATTAAATTCAAAAGGTATTTATCAGTCATTCTTTATCTGAAGTGATTTAGATTTTAGACCCCTTTGCGGGGTCGTGGAGGTATGGGCACAAGGCAGGGAATGACCCAGGATGGAGCGCCAACCCATCGCAGGGCGCACTCACATACCATTCATACACACATTCACACGTACAATGAGGTAACTGCAATTCACCTTAAAATGTTTTTGGACTGTGGAGGAAACCAGAGAACTGGAAGGAAACCTGCGGCACCCCTGCTGGGATATAATATAAATACACTATATTGCCAATTGTATTAGGACACCCCTCCTAATCATTGAATTCCGGTGTTCTAGTCACTTCCATAACCACAGATGTATAAAATCAAGCACCTAGGCATGCAGACTGCTTCTACAAACATCTGCAAAACAATGGGTCACTCACAGGAGCTCAGTGAATTCAAGCATGGTACCATGATAGGATGCCACCTGTGCAATAAGTCCATTCGTGAAATTTCCTCGCTAATAAATATTCCATGGTCAACTGTTAATGGTATTATAACAGAGTGGAAGCAATTGGGAACAAAAGCAACTCAGCCACGAAGTGGTAGGTCACATAAAATCACAGAGCGGGGACAATGCATGCTGAGGTGCACAAAGTACAGAAGTCGCCAACTGTCTGCAGAGTCAATAGCTACAAACCTCTAAACGTGTGGCCTTCAGATTAGCTCAAGAACAGTGCGTAGAAAACTTCATGCAATGGGTTTCCATGGCAGAGCAGCTGTATCCAAGCCTTACATCACCAAGCGCAATGCAAAGCGTCGGATGCAGTGGTGTAAAGCACTCCGCCACTGGACTGTAGAGCAGTGGAGACCTGTTCTCTGAAGTGACGAATCACGCTTCTCTGTCTGGCAGTCCGCTGGATGAGTCTGGGTTTGGCGGTTGCCAGGAGAATGGCACTTGCCTGACTGCATTGTACCAAGTGTAAAGTCTGGTGGAGGGGGGATTATGGTGTGGGGCTGTTTTTCAGGGGTTGGGCTAGGCCCCTTAGTTCCAGTCCAAGACATTTTGGACAATTCTATGCTTCCAACTTTGTGGGAACATTTTGGGGAAGGTCCTTGTCTGTTCCAGCATGATTGTGCCCTAGTGCACAAAGCAAGGTCCATAAAGAGTTTGGTGTGGAAGAACTTGACTGGCCCACACAGAGCCCTGAACTCAGCCCCATGAAACACCTTTGGGATGAATTAGAGCGGAGACTGCGAGCCAGGCCTTCACATCCAACATCAGTGCCTGACCTCACAAATGCTCTCCTGGAAGTATGGTCAAAACTTCCCATAAACACACTCCTAAATCCTGTGGAAAGCCTTCCACAAAGAGTTGAAGCTGTTATAGCTGCAAAGGGGGGGCCAACTCCATATTAAAGCCTATGTATTAAGAATGTGGTCATTAAAGTTCATGTGTGTGTAATGGCAGGTGTCCCAATACTTTTGGTAGTATAGTGTATATATTCCAAAGAGGCTTTCCTCCAAATGCAAGACCAACAAAACCACAGATATTCATTTACAGATATTAAGTTCCAATCAGCAAAAACTCACATTAGCCTAATCTATTTTATAAAGGTTACCGTGAAAATGCATTTTTACTTTTACTCTAATCACAACCAGAATAATCAATAATATGCTTCCCGCAACCCCTGCAAAGTTCTGTTACTTATAAAAATACTGCTGAATTACGAAGCACTAAGATATTCACAAGAAAATCACAGAAGGATAATACAGCCTAAAGATCCTGATTCATTGAGAGATCAATAAAAGGTGGGAAATGTAGAAAATTTGTAGAGATCCCAGTTGAGCAGAGGTCATCTTTTGGTAAACTTTGAAGCACTGCAGTGTCACTGCAGTCGTGTATCACAATATGCCAAAGCAGCTGTTCATTACCCTCCTGCCATGTAGGTTTGCATTTCAACACTGCAACAGTGACCCACATTTGCTGTCTGCTTCCTTAGCACCTCATCTCTTATTTGCAAACAAGAGGAGAAACGGGACTAGAGGAGGAAGAATGCACTGTAACATTGTGCTTAAAAGATTTCACAGTTTTTGGTACCAAGGAAACAGCTGTACATTAAAGGAAAAAAGACTAAGAATAATTAGAGATGTCGCTCATTGCAAAGTATAAATATTTCTGTTTATACCTTAATTGGTTTTCTTTTTACAAATTTCTGCAAAAGAATGAAGAAAAAAACATCCCAAGAAGTTTTGAAGAATCGTTATATAAGTATGAAAAGTTTCTCTGCAGTATATTACTTGAGAGTAGAGAAGTTAAATTGGAACAGTCCTGTGGTATAAACTCCAGACAGGCTGGGGCTCAGGAGCAGAAATCTAGAGGCTGCCATGGGACCAGCTTCATACAAACAAGAGATTAAAAACAAAAAAAAAAACTGTGGTAAAGGGTTTAACAAACTTGACCACTACTTATTTAAATTCTTGTAATACTAAAATGCCATATTAAACTTTAGTTCTTGAGTAATATTTGATTGTAAGCAAAATAGTATCTATATGTAAGTCACTTCAACACACATGGTTCTTTTATATTTCCAGTATACCAAATATTATAAAGATGAAATCATGGACAAATAAAGGCAGTGCTTATTGACACTGACAGAAAGACTCTGATCAGTGCATTAGTCCTTTAAATTCAGTTGTTTGCATTTAAAAGCTACACATGTAGCAAAATTGTTCACCTATAATGGAACAAACCATGACTGTTACAAATACTTTCAAGAGGTACTTGTGTAATTTTATTTACTATTTACTTTGGTCATGTAGTTTAACCCTGTGATTTACCAAATATGCCACCTACTAGAATATTCGTTGTGGCGCCAATAAATGTTTGATACAATTATAGCCCACATCCTCTACCTGAAGCTGCCCCCAAAAGCCTGTTCATGGTAACAGTCTTAGCAACTGCTTTCCTGAGTCTGTAGTCAGCCTCCCTTAGGATGAGAAACCTAAGGCTGAAAAGCAATTTAAAATTTAAAAGAGAAAAAAAAATGAAAATGTAAAATCTCAAAAGGGAGTGGAGAAGAATGGTGAAATGTCTTAACCAAGATGTTCTTTCTTTGTTGGTTTTGTTGTTAATTTCGCACAAACAAGTTCTTGACAGGCTAATATCTTCTACCTTTTCCTGTTTCAATTTAGTATATATGGGACCGGTTAATTTACACATGCATACACTGTATAAGTACCTGAAATCTTCTGAAGCATCTTAGAGCATTATGATTTGCAGTATGATTTATCACAGCGGTAGTGATCTCTCTCATAAACTGTGATGCCAGCTGGCGAAACTCATGCATTCCCTTCCTTGGCTGTAATAAGATCAGAAACGTACGTCAACAGCAGCCACTCAAGCTGACCTGCTATCTCTCTGGGTCAGGAGAGGCATCGCATGCACAATGGAGATCTACAGCTCTGGATTTCATTGTGTCCAGTGCAGCGGAGTAGGGGAGAATTAGATGAACTATTATGGGGGGTGGGCTGACTGGGAGATCTGAGGTGCTGGAGTAGACAAACACCTCCAGAAACACCATCCGCGCTTTGTGTGCTGCTTGCGTAAGTTCTCCTCTTCACACTCCCGGTCTTTCTTGGTGCGTAGGTAACGATCTTCCTCCTTTAGAAACCAGACAGGGGGCCAACGATGTTTCTCAAAGTGCTCCTGGTTCTCTGTGGAGGAAGACAGAGTGGAGGAGTTACATGGAACACAAGGAAGATGAATTTTAGAGCAGAGGAACAGCCAATGACATAAAATCCAAGAACAACTCATAAATCAAACAGTGTGTCTCCGTGTCTGCGTAAAAATAATAATTAGCTGTATATTGCCTGGAAGAAAGTAAAGAATTTACTAACACAATAATAATAAAATAAACATGAATTTAACAAAAAGCATGTGGAAAACTTGATGACAAACTAGTACACAAAGGAAACAGGCAGGAGGTAATGGTCAGAAGAGTACCTGGAGACATGGCTTTCATTTCCTTAGGGAACTTGCGGCATACACTGTTGTAATTGGTGCAGATGTGGTGCAGACACCATGCAGAGAGTTGTTTTGCATTGTGAAACTGCAGCAATAAAAATCAGTTTACTATACTTTACTTTAGTATACATGTATTTTACGAGGCAAAACAAACGAAATAGATGTCCAATAGATGTAACTATGAGCTATACTGTAAATTCTAAACTGCCAAATGCGTAAATGTCAGCTACAAAGGAATTAGGGATTAAATTATGGATTCATTCATATTCACTCACTTGAGCCATCTCCAGGTATGCCAGCACCTGTCCATCGATGTCCACCCCTTTCAGAGTCAATTGCATCAACTCCTCTACAGCATGTTGTTCTTTGGAGGGAGGAAAAAGCCACTACATTTAATGATGTCAATATAAACAAAGTAAGAGTCTTCACTCAGCTCTGACCTTGGTACCCAATTCTCACCTGTGAGGGCCACAAGGCGAGGTAAACAAAGGCGGTTGGTCAACACGATGAGATCAGTGGGCTGCAGGTCAGGGCTGGATGCCAGCACGCCACAGTACAGGTACTCCAGAACAGCTTGCATACAGGCAGAAGTAGTTTTGGGGATAGCCACCTAAATCAAAGCAAATATGTGAGATACTGGGCTTTGAAGGAAAATGAAGGTTTTTCAATGAAAGCAGAAGACCGGGATGGAATGGGAGTCACTCTATAAGGGCCAAAGATGCAAATGCTTCACACTGGGATAAAGGTACAGCTCTTAAGAATAAAGGCTGGCAATGCCGAGTTTTGTAATAATTCAATAACCAAAGCTGAGTCCAAATCTCATTTTCTATGTGTATCCTTCCAATCCTGCTTTACGACAGCTTACTAAGAACTTCGATAGCGTCAACATGTTGTGACCGTTAAAATTAAAGCACATACTCAAATAAACTAACATGAAGAATGAGTAAGATGCATTCACGAGTGCAGCAGCAAACCCTGGATACTACCCTATAAAGTATGCAAAATACACCAAGTGAAAATGCTCCAAACTTATTCAACAATGTTTTTTTACACATTTGAACTGTTTAAATGGGAAGCTAAATTTTAAGACTGGTGACAAACAATAGCTTCAATACTATAAGAATAAGCATTGTGCATCAGACACCCAAAAGAGTAATACAAGAGATCTTGTATAATAATTTCAACCAATGAAAATGTCATTAGTAACATTTCAGACAGGACACAGGAAGTGATATATTGTAACAATAAGTTTACTCCATACTGCGTAAAATCAACTAAGAGTAAGGCACAGTGGAGTTTTGTGCTTGGTAAGCTACAAGCAGTTGGCTATTTTTGGTTGGCTTAGTGTGGCAAATAGGTGACAGCTTTCACACCAATCCTCAGTCAATATCTCACAAGCAGCAGCTAAGAATCATTCCAGAACCCACCTGAAAAACCCTTTTCATTCCAGAACCCATTATTTAAACCTTTACCTTTAACGAAACTAAACTAAATAAATACTACAATAAATTCATAATTCTCACTGGAGAATGTATTTTTAATTTCTCTGCATTCATTCCAAGAATGAATTTGGTCTAAAAATCAATCTACTTCTGTTTCTTGGAAACAAAAATATTTTGGGATATATGTGTGTGTGTGTGTGTGTGTGTGTGTGTGTGTGTGTGCGCATGAATAGTGGGTGATAGTGAAGACTGCAACCTTGCAATGTGTCCCTCAAAAGATCATTTGCCACAATACTCCTTTTTAAAAGGGCAGCAGGAGTGGTTACTGTGACACAGCCTTTGCATTGCCCCAGTTCATTAATAAAGTTCCCCAGGATAAATGACTACTACAATATGTATAATAATTTCAGTCTGCTATAACATGTTTATAAAACATATATTTGTTCATATGTGATCAATAACACAGGAATAATATCAATCAAATATTAAATCAATCTGTGTTATTGATCGTAATTTCTGCAACATGTTCACATTTTGAGTTGCACACTACACTGAACACCCTGGTCTACAGACCTTTAACTCTGAAAGCTTGATTGTACAAAGTGTTTTTAACATCATAAATGTAATCTTTATTGAGCTGGATAGGTTTTCAGTGATCTGGGCCTACTTCTATTTTCCCATAATCCTTGTTATTTTCATTGTGAGATTTAGCACAAGATGAGGTTTTTCAGGAACACAACAGGAACATAACAGAAATTAAAGTGTTAACTGGCTAAAGTCATTGAAGCATATTCCAGGCAGCACAATATACCACATGATGGCCTCATTCCTCCAAGGATGAGGGTTTCTTTCTGTCTTTGTATGGGGTTTGCATGTTCTCTGGTTTTCTCCCACAGTCAAAAGACAACTTGGCATCTCTAAATTGCTCATATGTGTACTGTATGTGTATGTGATCGTATGTGTATGTGCCCTGCGACGGACTGGCATCCCGTTCATCCAGGATGTCCTCCTCCCGTTGTTGCTTGTGATTGGATGCAGGCCACCTCATGTCCCTAAGCAGGATAAGTGGTTTGAAGATGAATGGATATATATGAATTACTGCTGTCAAAGTTAATGCGTTAACACACGTGATTCATTTTAAAACAATAACTAGCTATTTTTAAGTTGAATTAATGCACAGAGTCCTGTTTGGGGTCAGGACAATGTGTTTTCTGTCCTATTTTGTTTTTCTGCTTCTGTCATGTTCTTTGGGCATTTGAAGTTAAGTTTGGTATATTTTGGACCAGAAGTCCGATTTAAACAACACATGTGTGGGAGCATTTGTTTTACGTTGTTGATTTACAGCACTTCATAAAGTAAAGTAACAACAAGGAAATGATGACCTTTCAATGAAAGAATGAAGTCACTGGCTTTTTATCAGTCATTACAAGGCACATACTGTAATAAATGCATCTTTTAAGTGGTGAGTTTGCCTAAGCGGCTAAGAAGGGAGAGCACACAAAACTTACACTGGGGGCTTCAAAGTTCAGCTTTAAAGGTATTCAGATTAGATTGAAAAATTCTGCTGCTTCTTTGATTCATTTTTTAAAATGCAAATTACACAAAGCTTCTAGTCTAAAATGTATAAGTTATGAAGTGTCATTATAAATTATTCTGATCATGTGTTTTATCCACAAAGTTGTACAATATCATGCTCCCCGATATTGTATGTCAATGTAATATTATCTCTGTCTATGATTTATTTTTCCCCTGCTGGTTATCCCGGTTATAGCAATCACTTACTTATAGTAATTGGATATGGTTTAATTTTGGCATTAATTTATTTGAGTTGTACTCAAAATAAAGGCTATTATAAATTGTCTACCAAGGACAATCTTGTAATCCTCTTTTATGTTGTTGCATGTAAACAATTATTTTAACAATAGCAAGCTGCTGCCTTATTTGTTTGACTGAATTGTTTTCCTGGAGTTAAACATAGCTGCAATGTATTTTCAACAAATTACAACATGTTTGAATATGCAAATCTTCACTCAGTTCATGTGATTAATCACGATTATGAAAATGAATTGCCTGATAGCACTAGTATGCATATATCCAATATGTATTAATATAGTGTAAAAATTCCATTAATTTAACAAATATTTGGGATTTGCTGCCAAGATAGTTCAGTTTTAAGAAGTATTAGAAACACATCAAGCAGAGGACGGTCTCTCACACATGACAGGTAAAGTCACACATAGAAACATGAATAATCGATAGCTGCATGCTTTTATGAATTCATTTTTAGAATTACAGTGACAATTTGCCCCAGTTCTCAATTGCCTGCTGCTTTAACTTTTCAATAGTCCGAGTGACTTATTTTCACCATCTGCCACATGTTCTCTTTTGAACTGAAGAAGAATGAAGAATGTTTCTTCTTTAGCTATGCCTGAATACATTTAGGCCTTTATCGTGCTGGAAGGACAACCTTTGATAGAGGTTTAAAATTTCTCTGCAAAATACCTTGACAATCTTTTGATTTCATGATGGCAAATCAAGTCCTCCAGTACTCAGAACAGAATAACTACACAACAGTACTGAATCCATTCTGTGTTTGGAAGGCTGCAGAGAGGATGTTCTTCTCTTGTGTTTCATCTGTAAATGCTGACAACAACCCTTTTCGCTCTATTGTCCCACAGGTAGTGTGGGTCGAAACCATCATGGCAGATTTATCCAGACCAACATTTAGATCTACGGAAGTTGTACCGACCCATGGTCAGTTTCCTGCTACGCCCACATCCTGAGAGGCTGACTATAGCTCTTGATAAAAAATCTCCAAATCTAGAATATGGACTGCCAATGTCTTTGGAGATGCAAATAAATTTTCATGTCTGGTAAACACTATCTCCAGTATCCATGGAAAGATTTTTCCTGGCCATTTGCACAAGAGAAAGATGAAGCTATTAACTAAACACAAATTTTATGGAAGGGGAATTTTTACCTTCAGGACACTGACGTTAGTCACACAGGAAACAGGAATGGATCTTGTAATTTCCAATTCAATCCATGTGAGTATTGTTTTTGTCCAGGCATGTAACAAATCTAGATAAAATATATTTAACTCTATTGCTTCTGTTATAATTCAAAGCAAAAAGTGTAAAAACATGCAGCTTTTTCAGTTTCAATTGGATACATCAGCAATTTTCTATAGTCAAACATGTGGCCACACCTGTATATTCACACTGAATTATAAATATGTCCAGATACAGCCAGCATGTTTTGGAATGAATTGTATGATGACAAACCCTTTGAAAACTTTTATTTGTTTGTTACAAGATCTCGATTACTGCCATCAATGCCTCACTGAACAAGCACACAGCCATCAGCATCCTGCAATTCTTGGTAGGCTGGGAATCCATCAGTCGAACATGTACTTATAGAAAGTAAAGGTACAACCACTGTTTTGTGTGTAGTTACAGTGTGCAAACCCAGATACAGTAAGCGGGTTGGATACAGGCAGGGTCCAACTCAGCCTTACTACAACCGTCTTCCTCCAAAATGAGCTGAAAGTATACAGACCACCATAATCTTTGTGAGATTTTGTGTAGTGGAATTCCACCTTGAATAGGCTGAAAAAAGATGTATTTTTTCTTTAAATTGTCAGGAAGATTTGGATCAGGATGATTATTGTTGCCGGATTACATTATTACTAGAAAACATGACAGATTCTCGAGTCCTGAAATGGGCCACAAAGTCTACATCAAGTGAATATGTTGATGGCTGTAGACTACTTATCTGCATTAAGTAAATATTAGTTTAAAAAAACTTCATTTACTGCATAAAACAACTGAAGTTCTGTGACATGCCTTCATGAGACATCTATTAATCAAGTACACTACTGCAATTACAGAACCTTCAGTGTTGTTGCTAAAACAATTCTAATGTTTTTTTGTTTTAAATTTATTATTAAGTCAGAGCAATTTAATTTACATTCTCAGACATGTTATCAGACGTTATGCAAAATCCTTTGGGATTAGTCACGGAACACCTTTCATTAATAAGGTGTGCCTGTGGTGGTTGTTTTTCTTATTACTGGAAGTCCTGCCCATTCCTGCACAACATGCCTAGACAAGCCTCAGCGTCCTGCCCAACTGTTAGTCTGTACACGGTCAAAGGGGAAAAACTCCAACTACACAACAAAACTGATGGAAAGCCCTCAATGGTGCATTATTACCTGTGAAGCTGGACAGCATTGTTCCAATCCTCAGTTTGAAAACAGACGCTACCGTGCGTCACTGTGAAACTCAGGGAAAAGAAACGTGCTAATGAGATCAGGCTTCCGTGGGTCATCATTTATCTGCACGCATGTAACAAATTCCCTCTGGTTGCCTTATGGGAGCTCATTTATGCTGCCAGCTCCTGTGACCCAGCGTATGCATATTTAACAAGATGTTCCTACGCATCAGGAGTATGACGGAAAAGTAACTCACAGTTGCCATCGCTATCATTAAGATCTATAGATACTTGTAGTAACCAGGTGGAATAACAGACTTGGACTTGACTGCGCATACATGGATTCATGTATGAATTTTTTGTGTGCCCGCATTTAATTAACTGTCAAAAAGGAAGTTCAGAGAATTACAGCTAATATAAAATGAGATCCGTGAAATCTGTATGACAAATCTTGGAACATTCAGAAGTTATTACTTCTCACGGTTTAGAACGTGAAGCTAAGGCTCTATTATTGACACCTCCCATTTTTCATACAAATTCCCATCATCCCCCTCACCTCTTCAATATAGCTCTCCTTGAAGGAGCCACGGAACATGGCTGCCATCCAGGCGCAGCTGGAAATCAGCAATGGCTTGTGGGCAGGGAGGTAGCCATCGTCCAATTGGAACACTACATCTAACACCAGGAGAAGAGAAAGTCATGTCTTCACATGTCAAAGAATCAGAGAAGACACACACACACATAAAAAACCATATAGAGAGATGAATGAAGGGGGAGGCTTTACAGAGAGGGTCAGAGCCGCAGCAGAAAACGAAGAAAACCTATAAGTCATGCATGAAGTTGCATAGCTCCATAATTAAAATACACCGCCACTATTGAACTTCAATAACTACACACTTGCCCAAATCAGTCCTTCCACTTTTTCAGGTTTGACAGTTGAAGAGTAAATGTGGAAAGTAATACCTGTTAGTGAAAAAAATCCAGGCAAAAGAGCAGGAGCTTGGTCAGTTAGGAAATGAATGGATATTTGCCTTGAAATACAGATATTTAAGAAGTTCATTCACTATCCAATTATGCACTTAATTCCTCTTGTCATTTAGGCAACAAGCAGTTTAAGGTTTGTACAAATGTAACAAGCTTTCCGTTTGCACTGTAAGTTTGATATTTTTCCGTTACAATAAATTAAAAGATTTCAATTTGAATTTAAAGATTTGCCAAAACAAATGTAATAGAACATATCAAAAAGTCCATTTCAAAGAGTCTTTTACTGTAGAATGAAAAATCACCCAATGCGTACTTTGTTCTGAAGAAAGAAAATAACCATTTTTCATGTTTACTGTTTTGGCATGTGGGGCAAAGTCAGTATAATTTTTCAACTAGAAAACTCTTTCTTTTTTTCATGCCATTGATAATGAACTAGGGATTCAAAATGAGGATGGAGCCTTCTGTTTTGATTAAAATTTCAAATTACTGATTTACAAATTACTGTTACACATATTGATAGCAATAATAGAGTTACTTAGCCAGAACAACATAATGGTTGGATAAAACCATTTTAAAACTCTTTCTTCAACAACTGACCGTACACTCCACAATAAAATCAGAAATGCTTAATTTGTAACAAAGGAAGTTACATTTTGTTAAGCTATAGAGGAATATTCCTGAGGAGAAATAAACAACTTAAATACGAGTTTCATTCTGGACAATGTAAGTACTATCATTTCTGTGCATGGATTGGCGTGCTGTTCAAGGAGTCAACATGACCACAACTGGATAGGTAATGTTTGCAAAAGTAACGTTTTGATGGTGCTGTTTTGATACGTTATTTATTATAATAATATGCATATATCAGGAGGCATAGATGGTACATGAAGAAATACAGGCTAAATCACCTGCAGATTATTACCTTTTTCTTAATGACTAAACCAGGCAATATCTACAGATAGGGTTAGGACAATGCTTACAATGCCAGACCCAGGCAAAGATCAGAAGTAAAGCAGCAATGACTGAGTGGACCTAGCATATTTCGAGAGGGGAGAATGTTGATAGAGGGATGAACGGGTCCATACCAGCAAACGTGCCTTTGCTAAGGCACTCTTTGATCCTGTTAGCCCGTCGGACGTGGAAGGCCTTGGTGATCTCCTGGTTCATGAAGCTCTCACGATTTAGCACGTTAGCCACCATCATACGCAGGTCAAACACCTCGAGAAGCTCTGCAATGGTGGCCACTTGCATCAGGTCTTCTCTACCCTCGTCTAAGCTGCCAGTGTACAGGTACTGCAACACAGCCTGGGAAGGTGGCGGAGATGGAAAAGGCACTGAAAACTGTGCAGATTCAGAATTATAAAACAAATAGAAGTCTGATGTTGGAATGGGGGGGTTACTGACGAGCCCCATTCTCAGCAGAATAGTCACATCTCTATTGGACCCCCCCAAAAATGCTCCAGGGAAGCTATATTAATGCCCAAGCTCTGCTCTTACTGTATATGTGTGTGTATGTCTTTAAAGGAAGAGAAATGCAAAAACGAAAGCATTGTAACATGCTGGTACAAATGACTAATACAGCATTGTTTCATTCCATTTCAAGTTCATACTATTACATATTGCTCATGACATCAGTAAAATACGGGAACGGGAAAAGCTGTGTCTTCAACGGTTCTGTGAGGTTTTTGATCTATCCATTTCTGCTTACCTGGAAAGGGCCATCTTGAATGAGACTATCCATGGATACCACGGTCATGAGTTTAGGCTGATGAGTTATGGGATCCTGCACATACTCCAGGTGCATGCTGAGGAAGCCACGTCCCCAGCCTGTCAGGGTCCGCCCTGCCCCTACTGACCCCCTGGAGCCTTCGCTCCTTGCAGGGAGGGGATTGCCACTCTGGAAAGTCCTCAGGGAACCATGCTGCAGCAACAGGGGCTGTCTGACGCCACCAGAGCTTCCCTCCCTATCTTTACTGGTGTCCAAGCTCTTTGTGCAGCTGGTCTCCTCTTTTCGTCTTTTGTCCTGCTCTTCCTCATCACCTCCAACCAAAGGTTCCTCCACTTCCCCACCATCCACAGTCGCCTTGAGGTCCAAAGTGAAAAGATCATAAAATTTGGAACAAGAAGTGGCCAGGTATACTTTGTGAGCAAAGACCTGGGTGGAGCCGTCCCGCAGCAGGAACAGAACATCCGCACAGAGGGCCTGACAGAAGAGGGAACCAGGCCCCTCCCTGTCCATGGCTGGAGGATCTGGTATAGCCACAATGGGTCGCGGGGGACATGGGGGCAAGAAGGGAGCCTGGAGAAGGGGTCGTTGAACCCTCCTCAGGTGGGACTTCCAGAACTGCAAGTGGCGGCGGGAGATGAGGGCGGCACGGATAGCATTATCAAAAACATCCTTCACCCCGAACTGGGCGACGATGCTGGTTTCGTAGTACGGCACACCCAACTCCTTGGCGACTTCATGGCCTCGCTCAGGAGGCAGGATATCTGTCGGTTTGATGGGCCTGTGGGTGGGGGGGGGAGGAGAAAACTTAAAATGTCACAGTCAGTGTCATGGTCAGCGGGTTTTACAGCCAAAGCCACTGCACAGCCCTAGCTGAAAGCTGCACTATTTGTACAGCATACAGTCATCCGCTGACTTATGTCCTATCAAGTAACATACTTACGCCCTGTAAGAGCCTTGTTAAAACTTACCGAAGCACATGCAGTGCATGCTAGTGGGTGTATTTTGCCACGTGTGCAGCATGCAGCGAGGATCAAAACAACCCGATTGGGCTGCCACTATGGAGGCGCAGTTAAATGTGTGTGATATTGTATCTTATTGTATCTTAAGTTGTACAGTATATTTGATCTCTCCCTATAATGACTGAGATACATCCACACTGACTTACGTCCTCATTTCTGGGAAGTAACCCGGACAAAAGTAGATGGATACCTGTATTTATTTATTTATTCATTACTGCCTTGTGAATCTTATGTGTAAAGCCGTTCTTAAAGTCTCGGAGAAACACGGTTTCATTTCATCGAATGCCTACTTATTTTGAAATTACAAAGTTTGACTTGACTAGAAAGAGAAAATACTGCATGCAGAGTGAAGGCTGTTTATGAGGTCATATATTATTAGAGTTCTAGAGCTTTACTAAAAATAGATGCGTGCCAGTTATCTCCTTCTCGTTGACTTGTTAGAGCTGTATCGGTGTCATGGTATCAGCTTCTATAAAAAGGCGTGGCATACTTGGCTAGGGGTCGACGTGCACGGTTGACAGCCTCAAGATCAGCGTAGCGCAGGTCCAGCTGGCAGCCCACGAGAACGATGGGGGTGCGGGGACAGAAGTGCTTGATCTCAGGAAACCACATGGTACGAACATGGCGGAGGGAGTTGGGGTTCGCCAGAGAGAAACACAGGACTACCACATCAGACCTGCACACAGCAAAGGGCCAGAAGTGACAGGGAGACATGGAGAATAAAGGACATAGAGAGGCAACAATTTACCCATCTACAAATAAGGTTTCTCTGAGGTCAGTGTTGTGTCATAAACATTGAAGAAAAAGATGATAATACAACAAAAAGTGGTGCTGAAGCCTAACCCACAAGGACATGTTTCTGGGCTTATTATCAGGCAGTTGCAACGTAAATTCCAATACTAGAAAGTATAATTGAAAACTGTGCCCATTAACATTCCGACTGTCTTCATCTTCCAAGTGTATAAATTAACAGGCGCAAGACAAATCCAGTTTATAAAAGCAATATACCCACTTATTAATAAAATCACACTCAATTCAGAGTGCGTGCATGTTAAAGGAATGTTTCCTATCACATCTATAAATAATCTAAAAAGAAATCTTGATACCTGAGGCATTATGTAATTGGATGGTGACTTTTGTAAATGCTGAGTTATGGAATGTACCGCGGGCCAGACGAGATTGCGGCAAGCATCTATTAATAGTCCTAGTATCCATAAAACTTACATTTTAATTTTTAAACATTCCTAATACAAAATAAACCCGAATGAAAACACATATGAACAAGCCAGGTAAGGTCAATGAATGGAACAGTGAACGGCAGCTGTACAAATCCCTAGTCAACAACAAATTGTGTTGTGAGTTCTGCACTTCAGGTGCAAATCCACATGACTAACTGTGAGTGTGTGTAAAAGTATGTAGTGTGAGAGAGATAAGGCTGCCATAATCCTTCAGCTTATGAGCGCCGCCTTAAATCATTTACTACCAGCATACATAAACCATAAACATCATCACTTCGTGTTGCAAAACCAAACGGTAAAGGTCAACATTAACTTACGTAATATCTGTACTGTTTTCTGTTTTGACATGTCATTAGGATCAAACTCCTAAATCCTACCACCTGAATAAAGAAATCATGTACGCTTTTTTATAAATAAGAGCATTCAGGACAGACTTATTCAGACTGCACACCAGATCACACTAACGAGACAATGTAGTTGAATGGGACTTGAGAGATGATGTATTATTATAAAAAATCAAATTAGGAGGAACAATATGTCTAAAATACACAGAAATTAGTCTTTGGGAGTAAGGTATCTTATAGACAGGGATATCATAGAGAAACTAAATGCTAGACTGTTAAATCATACTACTCAGATATAAGTGAGAGTAGATTCTTTAGGTTCATCACCCCAGTTTGGAACATAAGTGGGAAGCAATTTATCAATAATTGAAGAGGTAGTTGTGTGAGCCCATGCTGTTATATCTAAGACTAGAACAGAAATGCAAGTGTTATACAGTATCAGGGGCCCGATAGTCCAGACCAGCAAGGTAAGAATGGGCAGGAAACCAATTAGACTTCAGCAGTCTTTATTGGAAAAGTATATTAAAACATATAGGCTGGCTAGAGAACAGAAAAGAGAACTGGCATCTAGTGGAGGATGTACTGCGACCTTGGACCCCAAGCTAATTATAACTACAGTAAAGAAAAGATTGTAAAAAATTACTGTATTGGCCCAAATATAAGACAACCCCGATTATAAGACGGCCCCCCGCTTTATGACAACAATTTTGAGAAAAAAATGTTTTTGGAATGCCAAGTCTTACCTTTATAAAGAAAAAATATTTTATTTGACAAAAAGTTAACCAGCAATCACAGCTTAAAAATCAACCACAGGCAATTGGATTACAAGAAGTGTATTACACAGTAAATATGATAAAATAAAATGTATTGTTGGTGGGGGGTGCTTGATGATGAATATTACAAACTCCACAACCCTTGAGGGTGCAGAATGCAGCAGGCCCACATGAAGAGGGTAAAAAAAGACAAATTATGGAG